CGCCCGATGAAACAGCATGGTGGCCAAACCAGCTGCATAATCTCCATGAACATTGAGGCAGCAGGCCGTCGTCCTCGTGCGCTTGCCATTAGATCCTTTATGGCCGGCGTCACGCAGGTTCACAACCATTGGACAAGACAGACAAGGTAGTGGAGAGGACAGATGGGACAAGGCTAGGCGAGGGCAAGGGCAGATCAGACATCAGGAATGATAGTCAAGGGGAGGGTGGACTGGGTTCAAGGGTGTGTGTAGAGTGGGGTTGCTAGGTTGTAGCAGGGTTTATACAGGGGTTTAGGGTCGAGAGTAGAAGAGCAGGTGCCATTGGGGTGCTCGACCGACGGGATAGCAGACGTCGTTGGGAGGGGGGCAGGCGGAGTAGACTGTGTCACCCGAGGGTCGTCCGATGGGATGTGCGTCATCGGAGGGGGGGTAGGCAGGCGGATAGTCGATGCCAAGTGAGTCACCGGGGGAGGAGAGATCGTCACCGATGGGAGAGCCGGCAGACAAGTGGTCGATGCCTGGGGAGGATTGCAAGAGACACGGGGACAATGTTCAGGTGGGAGAGGGCCCGACTGTCGTGGTGGAGGAAGAAGTGGGAGTGGAAGAGCCGGGTCCCTTGGAGCGAGGGGCCGGTCGAGTAAAGCAGCTAGCGTTGGGGCAATTGGTTTGTTGATGACCTAACTGGCGGCAACGAAAACACCCGTTGTGTTCTTGGAGGTATATGCGATCTGTGGGTGTGAGTTTTTGGAGACGACGGGGTGGAGAGGCAGAAGGCGGTCGGGACGCACGATCCGGGCGTTCCGTCCGCATAAGGTGGGCGGTTTGGAGGTCCTCAATGGTGAATTGAGAGGAGTCGAGAGAGGCAGTGTCGAAGTTGTCATCGGACGTGGGTGGAGTGGTATCGTTTTGGAAAAAGCGGGAGCGGGAGGGAGCGGGCGCGGACTGGTGATGGGGGTGGAGTCGTCGATCGTGGTGAAGCATCCGAGAGAGGAGGTCATCAAGGGGCATGTCGGGTTCGCAGGCGAGGGCGGTTGCAAGGTCTTTGTGGCATGCTCGCTTGATGTGGGAGATGAACGCAAAGTCGGGAATGACGGTGGTGGGGAGGTGATGGCGGAGGGAGCGGATGTATTGTACGAAGTGGTCCATGGGACCGGGCTGGCGGAGGTGGCAGAATTGTTCAAGGTAGTCATCAATGGTTTTCTGGGGGCGGAAGGTGGCAGTGAGAAGGTTGGCCCATTTGAGGAAGGAGTGACGTGGCCCTCCGGAGGCTCGGCGGTTGCTGACTTCAGTCATCCACCATTTAGCGGCATTGCTGAGGAGGCGGGAGGTGGCAATGGGGAGCTAGTGGGCAAGGGGCTTGTGGTGAAGGTGAAAAGAGTTCTGGAGCTGGGTTAGGAAGAGGAAAACGTCCTCGTGGGGGAGGCCGGATAAGGACATGATGTCGAGGGATAGGAAGGAACGGGGGATTTCCCCGTCTCAGGGAACGATCCGGGCGAGGGTGTTGAAACTGAGGTTATCGGGGGCGGTGTCGTAGCAGGTGTAGTCGAGTTGGTTGTTGTCCTCAAGGAGTTAGTTGGGGGGGAGTTGTGACATTGCGGGGTAAACCCTAGAGGTGACTTGGGAATAGGTGGGACAGATGGTGGGGATGGTGGAGGTCGTCATGATGGGTTGGGGAAGGGTATGGGAGTGCGGGGGGGGAAGAGGGGTGAC